CACCGATAGAAAAAGTTTAGCATTTTCAGCTATCCAGAGATAAACAGAACATATTAATCAGCCTTTGGAATAAAGATAGTGACATAAGTTAGTTTTTTATGTTCACTATGTTGTATATTCTTTTTATTGAGACATTTGTTGGTTAGTTTTATGTTTACAGGAAAAGGGAGAGAGCCTCCTCTCGCTATAAATCAGGACATTCCTTAAACTCGCAGGCAGACAGGATGAGAAGGCTCAGTATGAAAACAAAATCCTTCAGCATACAACAGATTTTTAAAAATCCAGAGCAGCTGACAATCCAAAAATATCTCATACAACTTTCCAACCAAAATACCTGTGTAATCACCCCAGAGCTGTTGCATCTAAGTAATCCTCATCAACTCATTCTCCAAAAAGACCCAGAGGCAAAAGCTGTCACCAAAACAGTATTGTTTGCAGCTCCACTTTCACATAATTCAGGGAAAAAAGAAAAACAGATCGCGTGACTTCAACTTGAGATCAGTCATATAATCAAATCATGAGTCAAGCTTTAATTGAGACGATGTATCAGTTTCTTTTAACCTAAACCACATTCTTCTCCTTGATAGAGCCATTATCATTTTACTGTCCCGCAGAGTCTGTACATCCATTTCTAGCCATCTTTTTTTTCTTGTTCTCTCTCACCTCCCTCTGGGCTCCTGAAATCTGATCTGCTGTTTCTCCTTGCATTCCTCCTCTCCCCTCCTCCCATATGCATGCCAGAGTCCTCAGCTCTGCCCTCTGACAGACTTTAGGTTTTTGCAGACCTACAGCGAACTGTTTATTCTGCTGGACATGGAGGAAGCATGGATGGACCTTCATTTGCTCAAGATTTACTGCTGAGACAGGCCTCTGAAACAATGGGGTGTGACTGCTCGGGGAGTTAACATGATGAGAGTGATCCATTCTTTTTACAAAAACAGATATAAAAATGTCTGAGAGAACAAGGTTTGTAAGCTCAATCATCCAGGTATGACAACAAAAATGGTTAAATCGTGTCATCTGGACCAGTTTCTTTAAGTGAGAAACGTTTCGTGCCCCATCCAGAGGACTTTGTCAGTCTGCAGCCTGCAAACAAGATCTGTCCCATAAGTAGCCGTCATTGCTATGTTTCAACCCAATCTCCTGTTGGAATAACAGATAGGCTTTAATCACATGCAAACAGAGAACACCCATCCAAAACAATCAAGCTATGGTGATCTGGTTGGCAGGCTACAGGCTGACGAAGTCCTCTGGATGGGGACGAAACATTTCTTACTTAAAGAAACTGGTCCAGATGACATGATTTAACCATTTTTGTTGAGAGAGCAGTTCCTCAACATATAAGAATCTTTCTGCAGGTTTTATGGTGATAAGCTTTAAAAACAAGCTCCACGCACCATTGCAATTCTCCTTCTTAGTCTGTGGCTGAGTACAGTACAAATATTGAGATTTCACAATACAGGAAATGCACTTGTTGATGGAAATGCAAGATAAAGGACGAGATGCATCTTTTGCAAAGGTAATCATGTGTGGAAGAGTAGCAAAAGTTTACTGAGTTCAAACTGAGGAAACTGAAAGAAACCTGTCAGAGCACACATTTATAATGCTCTTTCACATATTTTTCACTTTATAATATTTGTATAGCTAAATATGACATTAGTTCATTTTAAATTATTTTCTAGTTGTCTAATTTGCTCAACATCCAGAGTAACAGAATTTCCCTTTTCAGGAAATAAGAACAAAGAGAGAATTGTGAACCGAGCAGAAAGAGAAGATGGTAACTGAGGTGAATGATTGTGTGGTCATTGAAATGACTCATTTGCCTCAGTCAGTAACATCATGGCTTATCATCACACCACAGCCCGAGTGACAATTTTCTTTCCCAGAACCACAAGACCAGAGTTATATCAAACTGCCACAAATTTCAAAGCAACCTTGGAAAAAAGAAAGAAAAGAAAAAAGAAATATGTGAAACCCTCAAGATATCCTGATGTTCTTTAAGAGGAAACCAACGTTTTGAATTAGGGTTGGTTGTGGTGGTTTGGGTCTGTAAGTCATTCGCAGCAGGAGCAGAGGTTGAAGATGGAATGTCAGCCGAGGTCAGAGATGAAAAACTTGGTGAAAGGCTTCGGGTTGGAGTGGTGGGGGGAGAGACTGCAGGAGGAAGCTGATCACTGAAACCCCAGCAGGTCACATGAAGGTCTGCACTCACTCAGATGATGCTGCTTTGTCATTTGCAGACCCCTTTGAAATGAATCAGCTGAAAACTTGAGAAGCTCAATATCAATAAGTCCTCCACGTGGACAATATAAAAACTAAAATAAAGTTTATTTCCAGTGCAATTAATCACATAAAAGCCCAATTCTTTAAAGGTAAGAAAAGAAACACGTATTTTAGACTGGCTCACAAATGACACGATTGTAGCAGCATCATAGTAGGACAACTGGAGTGCAGCACATCACTCAGGCTGCTGTTTAATATACAATATTATTTTATATTATTACTGTTTAGCACATATCTTAGATCTTTTAACGTATTGTTTAGCATATATCTTGTGTATATCTTAGATCCTTATATAGTGTTTCTTTTTATATTTTAGCTATTTTTGGCTGTAAGTGGGATCTTGAGTACACAATTTCGTTCCCCCTCATGTACCACATGTGATGCAAATGACAAATCAAGGCTGCACAGAAGTCTGTTGGAGTCAGTCTCCCCTCCATCACAGACATCTACACTTCCAGATGCAGGAAGAGAGCCACCTGCATCATGAAGGACCCCACTCACCCAGCACACACACTTTTTGCCCCGCTCCCCTCAGGAAGGAGGTTAAGGAGCATTAAGTGTAGAACCACTAGACTGAGGAACAGCTTCTACCCTGAGGCTGTTAGACTCATGAATCTCTATCCAGGATAATCACTGTGAAATAATCACTATAATGCCGCTTGATTGTTGACATGTTGCTGCTGATCTATTTCATGTTGCTGTGTGCATGCGTGCTCATCTGCTCACACAGACTCATGTTTGTGCTGCTGTTTGGCATATTGTTTTTGTACTAGTGCTTAGCGTATTTTTAGTTTAACGTTTTTCTTAGTTCATATCTGAGATATTATTACTGTTTTTCTTTACAACTTATACTTTTGTTGGATGTAACTGGGACCCTGTGTACTCAATTTCGTTCCACCACATGTACCACATGTGGTGCATATGACAAATAAAGAAACTTTGACTTTGAACCTTGAATCAGCTGTAAAGTAAAGGATACCATATGCATTACTTGACACCAAAAAGTCAACCTTAGCTGCCCTCTACTGGTTGCACTCTGGGGACTCAGGCCATCTGAATAAAGGTTTGAGCAGTCGTCATGGTCACATTTCCCATCTGTGTCAGCAGAGCATGAGTACTCACTACTCACTAACTGTGAGTTCATGCAGTGAAAAAGTTTTTAGAACCTGCTCCAGGAAAAACTTCAGCAATAAGCAGCTCAGTCGAGTGCATGACAACTCCAAAAATATAAAAAAGGATGACATAGTTTCCACTATAGTACATTAACTTTTGAGGTCACGCTAAACTTTGCTTTTCCTGACCGGAAGTCGCATGTTGCAAAAGAGGTACATTTGAAGAATAAATATATGAAAAAAAAAAAAATCCCCTTGGGGACAATAAAGTATACATCTATCTAAAAATGTATGGGGATAAAAATACTTTTGTGCTGTGAAAACAAAACGGTGTGTACGTGCAGCCTTGAACATAACCACGTCCTTGTGCAGTACATGAAAATTATTATTCATCATTATTAGATACAAACATTTAGAAAAAAAAAACAAGTTATTGACTAAATTTAAAAAGTATGAGACCTGATGTAGTCTTTGAAGAACCTGAACTTTTGTTCCAGTTGCCCACTTCACCTATCTCACATGCAATATTTTGTATGCACACTTGTCAAGAGTGTTGATGCCTTAACATTGTATGTGTAGAGAAGATTACTTTTGTTTGCAAAACTCAAAAAAAAAAAAAAAAATGGACAAAACAATCACAGATTCACCTTTGGCATATTCTGCATTTTATTTATCCAACAGCTTTCACAGCCTCGTGCTGTTTTTCTTGCTCTTGTAAAAACTCACAGGCTCAGCCAGTTCATGCCTTCTTACTTCAAGTTCAAGTCAATTTTATTGCCATTCTCATCACATGTGGTACATGAGGTGGGACAAAATTGTGTGCTCAGGGTCCCAGTTACATCCAACAATAGCAAAAATATAAAGTGTAAAAAGAAACAGTTTAAGATACACAATAAGATACGCTAAACAAAAGTGAAACGGTACGCTAAAAGATCTAAGATATACACTAACTAATAATGTAATACTAAATTAATACTAATAATAATACTTATAGAAATACTATAACTTTTACCTGGTTCACTTAAACTGAAAAAAAGCAAAACAATAGGTATTTAGCTTCTATAACCCCTTTTAAACAATCAACAATATAAAGCAATCCAGACCTTAGACAAATTTTATTAGCATGTACAAAATTGATAAATATGGTATAAAACACATTCAAAAATGGCATTGTTTAATAAAGGTTTAAATACTGCAGCTGTTTCCAAGTTTGCATCAGCAAGGGCCCCCAATTTACAAGTGGTGTTTAATAAACTGTGCATTTGCAAACATGTTGTGCCTAAACCAAACCAGTATGCAGATAACTTGTCTGCTTGACATCCATACATTTCAAAATAAAATAGTTTTTAACAGAATTAACAATAATAATAAAAAAAAATAAAAAATAGGCCCTGGAGCAAACTGCTAAATAATCTGCTGGCAAGTTTATTTACATGAAAAATTCAGTTGCAGTTACATTAAACTGAAGTTTGGGGCCGATTTTGACATGCAGCAGCAGCACAGAGTCGGTTTGCAGACGCGTAGGCTGGAAGAACCCTCAGCCCTGCGCTCCCGCGAGCTCGACGCTGATTGGCTCGGACCGGGCGAAGGCGGAAGTCCGCAGAGCAGGGGGATTCCCAGAGGGAAGTTCCCGACTCGAGCTGGGCTATGTAAAACACACTTTACCATATCCTCTGCCAGCGTTTCGTGTAGCTTTACATTCGAAGATAAGGCGACGAGGCTCCGGCGGTGTCAAAACAAGACGGTCGACTTGCAGGAGAAACTTGAATGAAGGTAAGAGGACGCGCGCGCTCGCCCACCGACCGGCAGCCATAGACGGCTCGGTCGGCGGAGTTCTGGTCTCCGAACACCGGTTGAATGCATCACACGAAGGCGGTCCAAGAATACGGAACTGTGCGGAGAACTTTTTAAAGCTAACTAAAGTGTCGTGGCAGGTTATTGTTGTTTTTTGTTGTTGTTGTTGTAAGGCTGATTCAGGATCAGATTAAGAGCACCCAATAATTGATGGAGAGCCTCTTTACTACTGTTACAACAGTAAATCTATGTTTGTCTTAGTATTTAAAAATGGAATAATTATTGAATACTTAGGTCAAGTGGCATCCATAGTTTGACATCACCAAAGTAGAATGGGGGACTCGTAAAATCAACTTTTATTTTCACTTCATTTATCAATTTTCATGAGTAAAAAATGCCAGCTTAAGTGTTTTGTATGTTCATTTAGTTTTTCCCCCTCATATAGTTCAGCTCTTGTTTCTCCCCTCACCTGATTCTGTCTTTCCTCAGGTGTTTTTGTCATTATCTGTCTTTTCCTTTAAAAACTGTCATTTTGCATCGTTAGCCACTCTGTTCTTTTAAGTCTCCTCATTTGTATTTAGTGCTGCCTCGTCAACCTTTTTGTTTTGCCTTTTGTTAAATTAGATCTTTTATATATATATATTTATAAGCTTTTTTTTTTTATAGGTTTGGTTTTTGCATTTGTGTTCGAATCCCTCAAGTATTATAGAATGCACGGACCAACGAGAACCCAGCAAACCAAAGATTTTTATTTCTTTCTTAATTTATTTTAAAGTTGTTTTTTGCTCCAGAAGCTGCTGAAACCTCCCAGAGAGGAGACGAGAGAGAAGCAGGATGCTGGGCAGGCACTTCCATCTCCCTCGCCCAGTGTGGGTTGTTCCGGCAGCCTTATGTTCTCTCCTGCATCTCAACCTTCTCTCACCCATCACTGCCCACCACCACGCTTCACTCGCCTGGAAGCCGTGGAAGTTCCCCTCACCGAGATCATGAACATAACTGATCAGCTTCAGAGACTTCTCTTCACCACCGCTAAGAACCCGGACCTGAACTACAAGATGACCACTTGCTTCCTCATTGAATAGGTTCTGTATTCAAGACCCGGACTTCTCCATATCCCTGAGTTTGTCACACTACTTACTGAAACAAGAACATTCAAAGGACGATTACTGTAATTGTCTCGCCCAGTCGTCCTTGCATCACACAGTCTGCTCCACCTCCAGTTTTCTACGTTCTTGCTTCTTCGTCTAATTCCCTGGTGTTTCCTGTGTCCATGTGCGGACCGGGACAACCTGGGTCACATCACCGCCTCAACAAGGTCCATTTGCTGCATAGTTTCAACCTCACTCTTAACTTCGTCCACGTCCCCAGCTCCATTAACACCCGAGGTCCCGGTGTCCGCTGATCCACCAGAGGTCTCCGAGCAGCCGGGTCAGGCTGACCCTCCAGAGTTCTCGTCAAAGTAGCAGCTCCTCGAGCTAGCTGCAGTGTTGACAGAGCAACCTTGAGTTTTTCTTTGTGCCCTCCATCCTGTGTTTCGCCCACCACCCATCTGAGTTAGGTATTTTTTGTTTTGGGACATCAGGGGTCGGCCATTGGGGGGGTACTGTCAGAGTCTGCCTTGTATGTTCATTTAGTTTTTCTGTGATCCTTGTATTTGTTTTACTCGTATTTCATCTTCTCCAGTGGTTTTCCCCTCATGTCGTTCAGCTCCTGCTCCCTCCCTCTCTCACCTGATATTCTCCTTCCCCAGGTGTTTGTCATTATTTGTCATTTAGAGCTCTTTAAAAACTGACCTTTTGTTTGTCCTTTGCCGTGCGTTGTGTTGGTTACCCATCCATGTCTGTTCTTTTGAGTCTCCTCGTTTGTATTTACCGATGCCTCGTCATCCTTTTTGTTTTGCCACTTGTTAAATAAATGAGGACTTTTCTATTTGAGCATTTTTGAGTTTTGGTTTTTGCATTTAGGTTCAACATCCTCTCCGAACATGATCCAGCTATGTTCAAGAATGCCTAATCAGGCCTGGCACAGTTTTCCTCCTTGCACTAGCCACCAAATTTTGCAACATTTTTTTCTACTAATAACCTGTTTGTATGTATTTTGTATAAATAAAGGCAAGGTAAAACTTTAAATCATGCCACAGTTGTTTATCTTGGTAAGATCCTGCTTTTTTTATGGAAGCAGCTGTAATAGGCTTTATAATTTCCCCTCACAGGGCTCATGTCTGCCGTGTCAGTGATGATCGCGGAGCACAAGGCATGGAAAGGAACATTGGAGACCAGCTCAACAAAGCCTTCGAAGCTTATCGCCAGGTCTCCATCGAAAAGGACAATGCTAAAAAGGAGCTGCAGAAAATGGTAACAAGCACTGCGTGTGAAATCCTCGCCAGTGTAGCACAAACTAGGTCAAGTAGCAGCTTACAGTACCAGTGAGATTTTTTTCAAGTCCTCTCTGTTTATGTGGATATATATTACTGGCAGAAAATAACCCAAACCATGTGTTTACAGACTGAATACTATGAGCGATACACTCAAGAACTTCAGAAGCAGATCGAGGACCAGCAGAGGTTAATTTCTGAACTTGAAGCAAAGTTGTCAGCAGCAAGACAAGCATCAGGTTAGTCTCTGCTGTCTTCTTTTACAAAATGTCATCTTTGAAATGTACTCGCATTACCACAAAATTTATTCTGAAGTGATTTCATCCAGTGTTGCGTCTTTCTGTTTTTAATTTTTCTCCTTTTACTATATTTGGATTCTTGGAAGACGTGAAATGTGAGCCTTGCAACCATCTCCACGAAGGGCTCAGCACTTATAGGAAAGTCCAGTTCTCGGTATGTTCTCAGTCATAAAATGGACTCTTTCTGTTTGATTGTGAAAATAAGGATGTGCATCCAATGCCAGCTTCCTCTCACGTACATAGAAGTCGACGGTGCTTCTGCTTAAATTTCCTGCTTGTATGCAAACGGATTTTACAGGAATGAATCAGGCCCATCTGCAGCGGTTACAACCAAAAAGTGTTGAATATTACGTCCACACGTGATCCAAACAATTACTTTTACCCTTTGTGATGAGGATTTAACTTCTGCTGTAACTTTCTTTTGAATTTTCAGCACAAATACACAAATTGCAATTCAATTCAGTTTATTTATAAAGCGCCACATCACAACAGAAGTCATCTCAGGGCACTGAACAATAACATTCACATACAAACTAGGAATGCACAATATTGGATTTTTGGCCAATATCCATCATGCCGATATGTTAAAACTTATTTGGCCGATTACCGATACCAATACCGATATTTTTCCCCCCTAGACCTTACAGAGACTACATTGCTTTCTCTGCTGTGGAATTAAAATACTATATTATTCTGCATGGGCTTTGTCAATTTGGCCTGCTAACAAATGCAAATGCCTACAAGGGGGTTGAAAATAATGCAACACTTCAATGTGGATTCTGTTTAGTGTCAAATTTATTCATGACATTTACTCTCTCTAACACAAGGACAACACTCGAACAGTGCAAATTTGTAAATTTTCACAAATCTAAACTCAACCTGTTCACAAGCGACAAGTGAAAAGCACATAAGTAGTAGTGCATTAATAGAAATACTTGACAGTTTCTTAAATTAAAAATTAACATCAAACAGAAGCTTTTTATATCGGTGAGTTTTTTTGATGGAATGACTGATGTCCAATATTTAGCTTTATCGCTAATATCGGCCGATACCGATACCATGCCGATAATATCGTGCATCCCTAATACAAACAAAACTAAACTAAAGTTCTCTAGCTAAGGAAGCCAGCAGACTCGTTGAATCTTCCCTTTGTTGCAGTCTCCCATCCTGAGCAAGCACAAAGGCAATGGTGGAAAGGAAAAGCTCCCTTTTAACAGGAAGAAACCTCCAGCAGAACCAGGCTCTGGGCAAGCGGCCATCTGCTTTGACCAGCTGGGGTTTGAAGGGACAGGAAGGAGAGACGAACAAACACAGAATGGCAGGTCCAGATGTAGGTGCAGGTGTACTGCCTACTGAAAGAAAGACAAAAACTCGTGTCAAGGATAGAAAAAAAAGACAAATGCAAAACAGGTTGAGCAGAGTAAGTAAAGACAGTAGCATAGTAAATTATTTATTTATTTATTTAACCTTTATTTAACCAGGCAAATCCCACTGAGATCACAGATCTCTTTTGCAAGGGAGGCCTGGGCCTGAAGGCAGCCTAACACACATGTTTTTGTTCTGTGGGAGGAAACCGGAGTACCTGGAGAAAACCCACACAAGCACAAGAAGAATATGCAAACTCCACACAGAAAGACCCCAGGTCCAACTGGGGATTGAACCCAGGACCTTCTTGCTGTGAGGCAACAGTGCTAACCACTGAGCCGTTTTGCTGTTTTCAGTTTGTCCTCCAGCAGTCTAAACCTATAGCAGCATAACTAAGAGAGGAAAATATGGGACAATAAGATTAAGATGGAGCTAGGTTGTTGAGAGCTTTGTTGGCTAGAGGTTAGATTTTGAATTAAATTCTGAATTTGGCAAGGAGCCAATGGAGAGAAGCTAAAACTGGAGAGATATCTCTCCTATCGTCTCTCGTTAAAATTCTGGCAGCACCATTTTGGATCAGCTGATCCAGCTGATTCACTTAAGTGACTTTTTTTTTTTTTGCTTTCTTTGAGCAAATACACTTACAAGAAAATATAATTTTTTTTCTGACTACCATGTCTAGAAAAGTTTTTGTGGTAAAATCTGCCTTGCAGAGCAGCTGTAACATGGCGTGTCCACGTTCACTTCACCAGATGGTGCTAGAGGATAATATCACTGCACACTGAAGTAGATGGAGAACTTTTTTTTTTCTCCATCCAACCAGGAAACATTTTCACTTGTGCTGCATAAATAAAATCATCAGCATGCCCTCAGATAATTGTTGTTAATGATGACTAAAAATTCAATGTGTCTTTTTCAGGAGAATATGGGCACCGTTGCTGTTGCTCCTAATTTACCAAGCAGCAGCAGTGTTGACTAGTACGTGTCCCTCACCAGTTTTTATTTTTTTTATTTTTCTTTATATCAGTCAGGATTTTGCACCTTAAAGTTGATTCCCTCCTCCTCACACTTGTTTTTTATGTGTCAGTCAGGACATGTTAGAGGCGTTCGAAGCCATTGAAGGCAAATTTCGACAGATCCAGAATCTAAGCAGGAGACAAAAAGAACAACTGAAAAAATTCCATGGAGGATGTGAGACATCGAACGGTAACATCACCCTTTTGCTTTGCAAATCCTAAAAAAATCATTGTTTTAATTAATTTATTAATTTCAAATTAAGTGTAGCGTTAAGTTTGTCAACTGGTTTATTTAAATTTAAAATATAAATTGGTTTGGGAATGCCTTATTAGCTTGCGATTTTAACAGTTTAAAATATTTTTATGACTCTTAACATGCCTTAAAGTAATGTGTTAAATGCATTTAATAGTTTCATTAACAAATAATTTAGGTTTGCTTGCATAATGGATATTTAGACAAATTAAACTAAAAAACACTAAATATATACATAGTTCATGCACAAATATCTATAAATACTTAACAACATAATGAGAAATGTACATTTTATATAATTCAATATTCCTTTCATGACTTAATACAGCTTAGATGTATCAAGGATTTTTTTTTCTAAATTGTTTGCCCAGATAAAAATCAAATTAATCCATTTCTATCTTTAAACGCTGATGCAATTGCTTCCCCTCAACTCCATTCATACACTTCTGAATCTTTTAAGACAGTCATAATATTGCTTCCCACATCAGTCTCCCCATTTTTTTAAATGGCTTACAAATGCATTTATAAAGTACAGTTATGCCAAGTATTTGATTTTTTTCTTTCCTGCAGAACGTTTCCATGCAACCCAAAATTGTAGGTTGCACAAAAGCCTTTTTGCATATCGTTAGATACATTTTGAACGTGTTCTTTAAGTACTTTACATTTTCTGTTTTATGCATGTGGATTTTCCCAGCAGTGTTGTCTGACTGTGTATATCACAAGTTGAGCAGATGAGTTAATAAATGCAGCATTTGACTGCAGATTGTTAAACTTCCTGTCATATTATGTAAAATAGTTACAGCTTGTTGACCCTCTGTCCACTAAAAGAACCAATAGGGTGACAATTATATATGCATGATAGCAAAACAATGACACAACACATCTGCTGCAGTGTGCCAGGAAGTGAAAGACTCACTGAGCTTGAACAATAATTCAGGGGATTAAAAACTTCATTTACTGAAACTTTATCTGCCCATATCTCATGGAAAGCTGTTTTGTTGGCACATTTGTTAAAAAGTCCACATTCTGCTGACAAAGTGAGAATATGTGCAGATGCTTGTGTGGCAAAAAAAAAAAAAAAAAAAACACACCAAGAACAGACCGCAGCTTGAACAAATATTATTTTAATAACCATGAGCTTGTGCTGCAATCAATCCTCTGCTTTAAGTTTTCATTTTTTTAATTTCCTTTTTTAAATGAATTCAATAAGGATAAATAAAAAAACTATAGAGAGAGGCGCCTTTTATATAGAAAGTTACACTTGCACTGGTTCAAAAGACATATTGAAGAACTGCTGTTGTGTTTTAATATTATTGCTCTTAGCATACCTTGAAATAATAAAGCTTTTTTTTTTTTTTTTTACTGTAACCAAACCAACCAAATAAATAAATAAAATAAAACAATATTTTGCTTGCTTCTCTGTAGAATACACCTATTGACCACTTACAGTATTATTATGGGATTGTGTTTTATGTGCATTACTGCATGAGACATTTTCTGAATTAATCAAAGCTCTTTAAAAATAAACTACATATGGGGATTATTTTTTCCTCCCTTGGATAAAAGTAAGTAATATGTCATGGTTTTGTTAGCTTTACATCTTTGGTCATATAATAATCATTAATTCTAAATAATTTTCTACTGCAAGTTGCCATTTTTATGGCAATTGCTCCATTAAAGCATATACCGGTAGTTAAAGATTAAAAAAGTAAATAAATAAACAATAAATAATAATAAAAAAAATAAATAATAAACAATAAATATCTTACTGTTGCAGATGACTTTTGAGTGTTCTCAATTTGGAGAATTTGTGACTATACAATGCAATATTGTATTGTATAGACTTAATAAAATATTCTGACTGTATTGACAAGATAACAGCTATGAGTGGGACAAAGACAAATAATTCTAATCTAAAATATTTTATAGACATTCATTCAATTTCCAACATTTTATATTGTTGTTAATTACAAAGTATAGTTTATTATGGAATTAGCAGTAGAAACAGTTAGCTGTAGCTGGTGCAGCCTGGGGGCACTGCCAGCAGGAATATCTACCGGTAAACATTTTACAGGAAAAGCTGTAATGTGATTTTGACAGTAATGTAAAGGTTTAAAAAATTATAATTTACATAAAACACTACATTTTTTTCAAGATTGAAGTTGTAGTAACCCACTTTAGTCTTAGTTCTAACTGAATTTAGCTCGTCAATCTAGTCGGAATTAAACAATTTCTCCAAACTGAGGTTGTTCTAATGACTTTCTAGAGCAGGTAAGATACTGACTAGTTAGTGAAAATGCTCTGCTTATATATGTTTTTCTTTTTTCCACTTGTCTTATTATCTTATGAAGCGAACATGTAAAACGTTGTTTTTATTATTTTATTTAAACTGGTCTGGATGGTTTTGGAGTCACAAGCCTGGGCAAAACATTTTCACATCTGGGTCAGAATGTAAATGTTGGCAAGATTTTGAAAATCTTTTTAGTGGGTATAGCTCCTAAAATTGTGCCAAACATCTTTTAAGTTGTTACTTTGAACGTGTCACAGCGCTGGACTATAACATATTTGCCTCATGTCACAGATCAGCGCTTCTCGATGCCGATCCAGTGCACGGACCGAACCGCAGAGGCAGAACAACCCTTTCCCTCAGCAATAAGGTCCGCTGTGGACATCCCTAACCTGCCTGCATCTCTGGCGTCCCGCGGCGCCACTCAGGAGGACAGAGACTTTGTGGACTCTCTCACCAAACTCAGTGTCAAGTTCCCACCCTCCGCAGACAGTGAATACGAGTTTCTGAACAGTGCTCCGGAGAGAAACCTTAATCTGGCCATGCCCATGAAGCAGCCTCTCAGCGGCGCCTCTCCCTCGCTGCCGGAGGAGAAGCCCGCGGAACTGCCCATGCTTTTTGTCTTTCCCACATCCCCCTCCCACTCCTCATCGTCTTCACCCTCCCAGGAGAGTGTGCGAGGACCGCAGCAGGTGAGAAACACAGGAGAAGGTCTGAGAAAAGTAGTAGCAAATTATCAGTTTCTGATTGGTCTTTGCTAATGGAGGAATAAAACGGTGTGAAGTCCAAAAATATCTCCTTGGCTAAACTTGAAACATATTACCATGTAATGTGCGCAGATTCCTTTTTTTATATATTTGAGCATGGAAGCTCTGGTTATATTTGGCATCTTTGCCTGAAAGTGGAAGCCAGATGGAATCACATTGGAACAAATACGAGGCTTTTGTAGGATTTCATTGCTGATGTGTATCAATGCCTAATGTGAGGGATATAGAGTAAGATCTAAAAAGTTTGTCCATTTTAATTATGCTCGTTAATTTGGATGGAAACCGAAATAGGAAGATAATTAAACACTTGAGAATAGATTTTTTAAACTGGCTGTTCACACAATAGTTTATAAAAGCACATGCATTTATTTTAAACGAAACGTACATCAGTAAAATAAATCTGTTAATGTGTGGTTCGGTGGAAAGATAAACAATAAATATCTTACCTGTTATAGCTAGAGAAATAAGCTTTGTTTTTGGTTGAATTGATGAGCTAATGTGAACTGCAGCCAAGACCAAAGTAGACTAGTGCCATCTCAAAACAACTCCAAGCTAAAATATTTAATAGAAGTTCACACAAATATTTTATAATTTTTGCAACATCATGAGTTGTGATTTACATGGCTATTCTTAGTTAAGTAAATCAAGTAAATCTTGTGATGTTCTTGCAGGAGCTGCTCCAGGTTGCATTAAATGTGCTCCAGCTAGCTACTGCTATTTGTTCATGCAAATAACCATGGGATTCTGGGTAAATAACTGTGCAATGCAAAATTGGTGGCGATGTTAACATTCATAGACTAATGTAGACTGGGATTACTTTACAGTGGTTCCCAACCCTGGTCCTTGAGGAACACCGTCCTGCACGTTTCAGTTGTTTCCCTGCTATAACAAGCCTGATTTGAATAAATGGATGATTAACAGGCTTCTGCAGAACTTGAGGAAGTAATTAAATCACTAAATCAGGTGTGTTGGAGCAGAGAAATAAAACATGCAGGATGGTGTTCCTCAGGGATCAGGGTTGGGAACCACTGCCTTTAGGATAATAACAATCACTTTAGTATTGACTCTGCTCAGACTAGCTGCCAGCTCATCAATCCGAGGGCAGAAGGGCTAAAGTAGAGCTCCAACCATCATGTCAAGCACCTTATTTGGGTGGAGGAATTATATAAGTCCATTGGGCTTTTGCCTCTTCCTGCACTGTTATTATTTTTTCTTAATATCTTTAATCTGTATTTGAATTGTGCTAAACTAAACTACAGGTAAACTAAACCTGCACTGGCCCTTAGATATTTTCTAATCCTGGGCTGCATCAAAATAATAAAAACGTGCCCCTAAAGAAGTAAATGTTTTAAATATGTCATATACATTAGTCTGACTCGGCTATTTCTTACGAACAAGCAAACCTTTGAGGTAACCCTCGCAAAAATGAGTACAAAAAAAACACTGGTAAACATTTTTCCCCTCTTGTTTTTGAGAAAGTTTCCTTGTATGAAACCCATACATGATTCAAAAAAGATTTAGGATCGCTGTTTTAAACAGCCTTTATAAACAGCAGTGTTTAAAACAGCAATCTACGACAGGTAAGATAATTGCTTGAAACCTTCCTACAGAACCTGTCAGTAAAAGATCAAGTCTCTTTAAAGCTCAGGGCCATGTCTTTGTAGCAAACTTAAGGGTGAGTGTTTGGAGCATGAATAACACATTTTCTCTGGATCTTCCTGCTCTGCAGTCTCTCTGGAGCCCCGGCTTGTGCGAAGCAGTGGACATCGGGACAGACCAGGAGCCTCCGAGCAACAGTCCGAATAAATGCGCTTTCTGCAACGCCGTGGTTCCTCAGAACCGAATGAACAGTCACCTCTACTCTCACTGCTCTCCTAAGAACGAGGCGAGCAACTGACGATGGCAGCAGAGACTGGCGGGAAAAAGTCCAGACCACTTAAAAACTTTTACTGTATTCATGGCATCCTCCCGCCTGCCATGAAGCACAAGCGCTGTACAAGAAGTGACATTACACTGCCACGAGACTTGAATCCATTTATTTAATACAGAAGATTTAAATGGTACACTTGTTTTTTGCCCATATGGATTTTATAATATCAGACTGAGATTTTACAGTGATGCACATATATATGAGCAAATAAATGATTATTTACTCTTGCAGCAGTTTTATCATTTGAATCGTTTGCAACGTACCAATGCAAAATTAGAATTTATGTTTTTTAGTTTGTTCAAATACAGTATATAGTCCCTAGAAACATTTTTTTTTTTAATTAACCTTTATTTAACCAGGCAAATCCCATTGAGATCACAGATCTTTTGCAAGGGAGGCCTGGCCCTGAAGGCAGCCTGACATGCATGTTTTTGGTCTGTGAGGAAACCAGAGTGTCTGGAGAAAACCCATGCAAGCATGAGAAGAACATGCAAACTCCACACAGAAAGACCCCAGGTCCAACCGGGGATTGAACCCAGGACCTTCTTGCTGTGAGGCAACAGTGCTAACCACTGAGCTATCGTGCTGCCAATTGTGTGCTTATGAAATGAATTGAGCTCATTTTACATCCTTCACATATTTAGATGTGTTTACAACCTTTTACTGTTCCTTTCACATTTTGTTCCAGTTCATCTTCTTTCAGCTTCCTTTTGCAAATGATAATAATAAAAAAAAATCAGCTACTTTCAGCTTATTTTAGCTGTTTTTTCAGCTGTTTGTGATCCTTTCAGATTCCTTCTGTTAACTAGAAGATTTTGTCTTCTATCTTCTAACTTCTTTCTGTTAATTTCAGCATGGTGTGCTCCTTTCAGCTTATTTGTGCATGTTTCAGTTATTTCTGCTACTATTTAGCTATTTTATGCTAATTATAGCTTTTTCAGCTAACTCAACATTTTTTGCAGTAATTTCAACTTTTCTTTTAGCCTAATTCAGCAAAATGTGTCCTCTCGATTTCCTTCTGGTAATTTAAGCTTGTTCTACCTTTTCAGTTAGCTTTTTAGCATTTTAACTACTTTCAGCTATTTTCAGATAAATTAGTTTTTCGTTGTAATTTCTGTCTATTTAACTTCTTTCTGCTAATTTCAGTTTGTTCTGCTTCTTTCAGCTTCTTTCTACTAGTTTCAGCCTTTTCTGCTATTTCAGCTACTATTTAGCTGTTCTATGCTAAATTGATCTTTTTCAGCTAATTCCACATTTTTTTTACAATAATTTCAACTTTGTTTAGCCTAATTCAGCAAAAATGTGCCCTCTCCACTTCCTTCTGGTAATTTAAGCTTGTTCTACCTTTTCAGCTTTTTTGTGTATGCATTCTTAGCTACCTTCAGCTGTTTTCAGATACATTTGTGTTTCATGGTAATTTCTGCTACTTGCAGCCTAATTAATTTCTTTCTGCTAATTTTAGTTTGTTTTGCTTCTTTCAACTTCTTTCTGTTAGTTTCAGCCTTTTCTGCTATTTCAGCTATTATTTAGCTGTTTTTAATGCTAAATTGAGCTTTGTCAGCTAATCCCACATTTTTATTAGCTCATTTCAACTCTTTCCACTTCCTTCTGGTAGTTTAGGTTTCTTTCTGCCCTTTCAGCTGCTTCACAGCTGTATTTGACTAATTTCTGCCTTTTTTAAGGTATTTTCCTAATTTCTGTGCTCATTTCTGTTTATTAAACCTAAATCAGCAAATATGTTTTCTTTCAGTTTTTTTCTGCAAACTTTGGCTTGTTCTTCATTTCCAGCTACATTTCAGCATATTTTAGCTACTTTCAGCTGTTTTTCAGGTAGTTCTTCTGCAATAAGCATTCACACTGCATTTTCACAGGAAATGTAATTTATCTAATTACATTGTAAAAGATAGTAATTAGCTGTTACTTGCAATAATTCCCCCTCATTGAACAAATATCTGAATACTTTGCATAGTCTCTCTAACCAATTAAGCTTCCTGAATGATATTCTTCACAACTTTCAAGGTGAGTTCTACAGCCAGAATTTTCTGTAGCAGCTGTAAATAATTTATAGTGAGGAAGTGTTTGTGACCTTGAAGTCATTTAATGACATGTTTGTGTTGACACAAAGCTGTTATACCATCAGATATCAGACTGCTGTGCTGTCTGTAAAGTTATGTTGCTTATGATTTGCTGCATTCAAATATTTTTTACACAGGTGCAGTTATCTAAAATATTTAAGGCCTAATATTCCAAGAACTGCGTATCTCTCATCACCTTTTACGCCAGAGTTCTAGTCTAAGATCTTATGTTCAATTTGTGTTGAGAAATGACCGAGATTTTGCTGTTTTGGTTAAACCTTGGAGAAAAATATCTGCAAAACGTGCAAAATCTTATACAATGTCACTGAATGTGTTCTGAATGACGCTCAGCCACTACCACAAACAATTTTAGCTTAGTATGTGTAAAATGTACTAATGTATAGTCATATTTGTGTTTATTAAAGATAATTAGCTGTGGTGGTCTTCTTGAACTGGATCAACTCAAAAAGTTAATTGCAACTTTCTGCAAGTTTAATTTAAAATCCCATTCAGTGGTTCATAAGATATTTTGCTAACAGACAAAATATGGTTGACCCTTATAGGTAATGCTAAAGCTTCAAGCAAAGATCTTGAGCAACGAATACACTTAGATTGTGAATTTCAGAATTACGGCCATTTCTGTGTTTTCTATGGTCCGATTACGGTAGATATATTGTACCTCTTTACAATAAGGCTCCCCTCATAGACGGTTAATAAATAGTTTATAGATATGTTATTAATTCCTCTATAAACACTTGATAAATCATTAACTGCTTATTATGCATTAATTAAGGGTGACAGAGACAACACTGACCAGTTTCTTGCCAAATAGTGATCCAAATCTGTTCATCTATATATTTCATATGGAGTTGTTATATTAAATATTTCAGACTAACTTACTACCTTGTAAGCACAATAAGCATTTGTAAACCTATATAATGTTGTACTTTGTCACTGCATTATAAGTATCTTCAACTAATATTATATCCTAAAAAAATTAATTTACAAATGCTTGTTGTGCTTACAAGGTAGTAAGTTAGTCTGAAATGTTTAATATAACAACTCTATATGAAATATATAGATGAACAGATTTGGATCACTATTTGGCAAGAAATTGGTCAGTTTTGTCTCCCTGTCAGCCTTACGTAATGCAGAATAAGCAGTTATTAATGCTTTATAAAGTGTTTATAGAGGAATTAATAACGTATCTATAAACTATTTATTAGCCATCTATGAGGGGAGACTTGATGTAAAGTGGTACAGATATATTTAAACACAAGCCTTTTCACCGTGTGAAAAATACATATTCCAAAGATTAAAAACTTATTGTCAGTAAAATAAAACATTTTATTTAAAGCGATAGCACAGTATCATTTCCAGTACATCATTTATTCTCACTTTCTTAAAAAAAAAGAAGTGATTTTGACCATTCAACGTGATGATTCTTGAAGAAACAACTACGCTGCACGGCTGCACGGCTGCACGGCTGCACTGATGACTTTGCACACCTTCAACTTTGTGCTGATTAATGAACTAATGCGCAAACTGCATCCAATATATATATTTGCTTTATTTGCTATAGGTACTCTAGCGCACTTCAAATAATCAAAAACAGTTAACAGACTGATTAGTTGTTATTTTAACCTGATATCCTTTTTGCCTTCCTCTTATAAATAGCACAAATGGGTGTAAAAATGGTCTGTTATCATGCTTTCAACTATTCCCAACTAATGAGTCATTAGGCTAACATACAGAAGCACTATTTCAACACGACATCCTCATACCAGGAAAGAGTGAAAATACCATTTGGTGTGTATACAAAGGTGAATATTACATATTGATATAATGTAATGTGTCAAACAAAATGAGTGTTTATTTTGGAGTGACATAAACCACACAATTTTTAATTTTTTACATCAAACGACGAACACCGAGGGGAAGGATTTATTCAGATTTTTCTTTCTTTTTTTTTTTTTTTTTTCCTGGCAAATACATATCCCTAATGATCCTGTCTCCTTAATCTGTGAACAGTCGAACATTGTGCAGCCTGCATGCTTTTCTCTCTGGGATCATGAACAGCTGCTTGCTCATAATTATGTTGTCATTCGTTGTTATTTGGAAGAGGAAACTCATACTGACAGCTAGAATTTTTTTTCCATTTATGCGTTTGTTTCCGTGCACTATACAGTCACTCATTGCTGTATACAGTAATGCAAACTGTATCTGCTTCAAGGCATTGTCATCAACGTAATTTTTTATATAATGTATATAAATTGTTATACTAAAGCTAGTACATTTGAAATATATTTAGCTATAAAAATATAAAGATGGGGGACAAAAAAAAAAGTAGGGTATGGATTGAGATGGAGAAGTAGCAGGCTGATTACAAGGTGTCAAAATTGCCAGGAGCAAGAAGGTGAAAGCAATCAGGGGTGAGAAGAGTGCAGCATTCGTGAGGGGCAACTAATTATCCATCTCATTTGTGGAGGGAAGCATTTGAGGCAGCTCTAGCCCACTGAATGGTGACAGATTGGTGCGGAGGAGAGGGGAGGTGTTAGAACAATGGAGCCCAGCTCACCATCATTACTGCATGTTAATCAGCAGCGCTTCTGCACCACCAGTCCGTGCTGGAGAGAGTTTGGGGAGACGGGGGAAGTCACCGGCTTCAGGGGACTTCATTCATTTCCAAGTGGAGGAGAAAAGGAGGAAACTGATGGGCAGCGTTGCTGTTGGCGCCGTACCACTGCTGATTTGAGCTTGTAGGTTATTTTATGCAGGCTGATCTTTGCAGCCTCCCTCCCTTGCAAGATAATTGAGCTGTAAGTGTGGAGCATTTTAACAAGCACTAAGAGAAGGACATTTCACTGTATGGTGTGTGCATATTATATCAGTTTTAAAAATCAATAAAATAAAATATATTAAAAAAAGGTCCAAATTTCAGCGTGTTGTATCATTTGAAGAACACTACACACTGCTACAAATATACTGAATATTTCAGTTCAATGGCTAAACCCGAACAAAAAAGATGAGGACTTACAAAAGAAATAAAAATTGCACAAACAATAAATAAAA